TATTAGGCCACACCCCCATGTTCCCAGAAGTGTGCTCATCCAGCCACACCCACCTTTTGCTTGTTATTCTGTTTACCTTGTTTGTTGTCAAAACCCAGGGCCTTTTTTTGTAGCAGGAACTCCTTTGCATGTTAGGCCACACACCCCTAATGTAGCCAATCCTAATGAGTTCCTGCTGTTGGGTGTGGCCTATTATGCTAATGAGTTCCTGCTGGGCGTGGCCAACTTGAGAGCCAGCCGGAACTCCATTCCTGTGCGTTCCTGCCCAAAAATAGCCCTGGATATAACCTTTGTAAGAACATTGAGCATCGCTTAATGTTAGGCCACACACCCCTAATGTAGCCAATCCTAATGAGTTCCTGCTGTTGGGTGTGGCCTATTATGCTAATGAGTTCCTGCTGGGCGTGGCCACCTCGGGAGCCAGCCGGAACTCCGTTCCTGTGCGTTCCTGCCCCAAAATAGCCCTGGATATAACCTTTGTAAGAACATTGAGCATCGCTTAAAGGCAGTAACACGACCGAAGGTTAAAAAATAACGGTCTTGTCCAGTTTTCTGTCTTGGCTGTCTGCGACGGACTTCAGAAGTCTTTATTCATCACTTACGATCCAGCCAGAGGTTATCACAGTTTAAAAGAACAAGAGAATGGGCTCGTTAAAACGTGGTGTAACGAACCTGTCAAGGTGCGTTCACCCATAAGACTTCCTCAGGATGTGAGAGCTGCCCTGCTAGATGAGACTGAAGTCCATAAACTTCCCACCCCCAGAAATGGGGGCTTCTCCCATTTGCCCCCTCCCCGCGGTCTCTTCTGCAGGCATACGCTGCTTCTGTACATGGAAGTTCCCTTTAGTCATTCTGGCCTAACAGGCGAGCCATCTAAGTGAGTGGCTGTCTCTAGAAGAAGAGGAGATTGGATTTATACCCCGCCCTTCACTACCCAAAGGAGTCTCAGAGTGGCTCACAATCTCCTTTCCCTTCCCCTCCCCACAACAGACACCCTGTGAGGTCGGCGGGGCGGAGAAGGCTCTTTCGAGGACCGCCCTTGAGAGATCAGCTCTGAGAGAACTTGTGACTGACCTGAGGTCACACCAGCAGCTGCATGTGGAGGAGTGGGGAATCCAACCCGGTTCTCCCAGATTAGAGTTCGCGCTCCTAACCACTACACCAAACTGGCTCTCTACTTCTTGTGGACCTTGCATCTCTAAGTGAATCACGTGTCGCAAGAAGAACAACTTTGGGCTACCCTTATCTGCTGCCGATCAGCTTCATTGGGTGACACACACACACACTCCTCCAAAGTTTTGGTGGCGAGGGAGAATTCCCCCCTCGGCTGCTTCTAGCGGCACCCGCATCCTTCCACCACCATGTCCTGGTAGGTCTTGAGGACCACCATGTCATGCTGATCCAGGTAGAGCATCGCGATGGGGCTGAGCTCCGTCGGGACGCAGCAGGCCCGGGGGACCCTGGGACTGATCGAGTTCAGCATGGTCTGCACCACGGCGTGGCTGGAGGTGTTCATGTGGTCGGCCAGCGGGAACCGGCACTCCCCGGAGCAGTAGAAGGCGTGGTAGCCGCTGGGGGCGACGATCCAGTCGTTCCACCCGACCTCTTTGAAGTCCACGAAGAGGCGGTGCCGTCTGCACCTCGTGCCGGCCTTGCTCTTCGGCTTCAGGCCCTTCCGCTTGCTCCGATACGCTGGGGGTTTCGAGGTCCTCCCGCCACCTCTCTGGTTCGGTCCACCGGGCCGGCTTTTGCTCTGCCTTTCCCCCCGCGACAGAGGCTGCCCTCTCCGATCGTGGCTGTAAGTGACCAGCAAGGGCCTTTGCAGGGCCCACTGGGCCTCCTCCTCGCCCGGGGACCGCTTTGCCCGGAGCGGGGCTTGGTGCCAAAGCCCCCGGCTGCCGTTCGGGTGTTCCACGCGGACAAGGATCCTAAGGTGGCCGTTCCGCCCCTTTGCCTCCTCCAAAGCCGCAGTTACGTCGAAACTCTCCCATTTGGGCCAGCCGGAAGGCAGGAACCTGCGGGCGAGGAGTCCGCTCTCGTTTCCGGAAACGGACAGAGGATCCATTGCGTGGTAGATGCTTATATGAAAGCCCCCCTTCTCTTCCCGCGGACGGTAGAGACGCAGCTCCAGGGCCGTCAGCTCCTCCTCTTCAGGAAGCAAAGTGAGGTTGAACAGGAAGTAGAAGGAACTTCCTGCTACTTCGGGGACGTGGTCCAAATGATCTAGACGTGGAAGAAAGCAGAAGTTAGGAGTTTTAGGGATGGGCGTTTGCCCAGGAGAACTGCCTAGCTGGGTCAGGCAAGGAGCCGTCCAGAGCACTGTTTGGCATCCACCCGCCAGCAGACGGATGACCAAGAAGCCAACAAGCTCAGTCTGAAGACCACAGCCCTCCATAGCCTCGCGAGTCCCCAGCATCTAATAATCGGAATACGGCCTCTGTGTACGTGGGGTTCCAGATCTGGCCTCATGCAAACAACGCTGATTGGAAACTGTGACCCCCTCAGTTAGAAGAAGAAGAAGAGGTTGGATTTCTGCTTCGCCCTTCACTACCCAAAGGAGTCTCAGAGCGGCTTACAGTCTCCTTTCCCTTCCCCTCCCCACAACAGACAAACGGTAGATGGGGCTGAGAGAGCTCTTTCGAGGACTGCTCTTGAGAGAACTTATGACTGACCCAAGCTCACACCAGCAGCTGCCTGTGGAGGAGTTGGGGAATCAAACCCAGTTCTCCCAGATTAGAGTCCATGCTCCTAACCACTACACCAAACTGGTTCTCCCAGGTGGGCGAGGGTGTATATTTGGAGAGATTCCATGAGCATCGTTAAAGGAGTCAGCTCAACACATTGAAAGAAATTATTTGCAAACATTATCTGTTTTGAGATCTCCAGCCTACTGGACAGTGGTCAGAGCATCAGATTCCGATCCAGAAAGGCCAGCGTTCAAATCCCCTTGTAGTCGTGCTCATTGGACGACCTCAGCCCAGTCCCACGCATCCTGCCTGGCCTACCTCAGAGGGTTGTTGTTAGGACAAGAAAGGGAAGGGGAGTCCCATTTACCCCCCCCCCTTTGGAGGGGCAATAGGATAAAAATGCAGTCGTTCTTTTCAACGGAGCAAAGTCTTGAGTCCAGTGTCACTTTTAAGACCAATAAAGAATTAAACGTTGTTGGTCTTCAAGGTGCCACTGGACTCAAACGAAGACCAACAAAGTTAAATCCTTTATTGGTCTTAAAGACGACACTGGACTCAGACTTTGTTCCATTGCTTTAGACCAACAAGGCCACCCACCTGAATCTGTCTTTTAAATGTGTTTTTTAAATAACTGTCTCACGAACACACGAATGCTGCCTTATACCGAACGAGGCCACTGGTCCATCACGGTATTGTCTAAACCTGGCAGTGGCTCCCCAGGGTCTCAGGCGGAGGTCTTTCACGTAACCTCCTACCTGATCCTTTTAAATGGAGATGCCGGGGATCGAACCCGGGACCTTCTGCACGCCAAGCAGAGGCTCTGCCAATGAGCTACAGCCCCACTTCATGGCTCTCGAGGGACGTCTCAGATGGAGGTCTTTCACAACCCCTCCTGCCTGGTCCTTTTAAATGGAGACATCCAACCTGGGACCTTCTGCATGCCAAGCAAACGTTCTGGTACTGCACTACGGCCCCTCCCATACAAATGAACACATGAAGCCACCTGATACTGAATCAGAGCTTTATCTGAGTATTGTATACTCAGAGTGGCATCGCGGAGGTCTTTCCCATCACCTCCCGCCCAGCCCTTTTAACTGGAGATGCCAGGGATCGAACCAGGGATCTTCTGCATGCCAAGCAGAGGCTCTGCCACTGAGCTACGGCCCCACTTCATGCCACTCCATGGTCTCAGGCGGAGGTCTTTGCCATCACCTCCTGCCTGGTCCTTTTAACTGGAGATGCCGGGGATTGAACCTGGGACCTTCTGCATGCCAAGCAGAGGCTCTGCCACTGAGCCACAGCCCCACTTCATGGCCCTCCATGGTTTCAGGCGGAGGTCTTTGCCATCACCTCCTGCCTGGTCCTTTTAACTGGAGATGCCGGGGATTGAACCTGGGACCTTCTGCATGCCAAGCAGAGGCTCTGCCACTGAGCCACAGCCCCACTTCATGGCTCTCCAGGGTCTCAGGCGGAGGTCTTTGCCATCACCTCCTGCCTGGTCCTTTTAACTGGAGATCCCCCATCCAAGTACCAGTACAAAAAAGGAAAGAAGCAGGAAAAAGACAGAGAAATCCACATCGAAGGTCCTCACAAGATTTCAATTCAGAAACCTAGAAAAGACCAAGAAAGACAAAGAAGATGGGGAGGTTGCAGACGATTAGATTAATATCGGTTAATGTCAATGGGCTAAATGGCCCAAACAAAAGAAGAATATTTCACCAACTGTCAAAACTCAATTTAGATGTAATTTGTCTCCAAGAAACACATATAAAAAAAGAACAAGAAAAATACTTAAAACAACCAAAGTTAGGCAGGGTATATATAGCATCAGATATATCTAAGAAAAAGAAAGGAGTAGCTGTATATGTAAAAGACTACCTACAACCTAAATTAGAATTTGTACTAGAAGAGGGAAGAGGAGTGGCAGTCTCAATTGAAAGACAGGGAATAAGAACCCTAATCCTAAGCATTTACGCACCTAACCAAAACCAACCACGTTTCTTTAAACAACTCCAAGAGAAGTTGGTGGGGACAACTTTTGAGGAGATTTGCGTAATAGGAGACTAGAACTCGGTATATGATCCAAATAAAGATAGGAAAAATATAAAATCCAAGGCCCCAAAATCAAGTAATAATTTACCTAAAACTTTTTTAGAACTGGCGGAAGAATTTTCATTAATAGATATATGGAGAACTAAGAATATGTGTGACGCAGTTTCTTATCACGTACTATAGGTGGCGATAGAGGCCAAGGCAGCCATTGCCTGGCTCTATAGCCTGAATGCGTATGACTCCAAACTCCACTTGCAAGAACAAGAAAAAAGGATATTCATTTCTCTGAACCAGCAAAAGCCCGGACTGTACACAGACTGGAAGATTTTAGATGAAGGGAGCCTAGTTCTCTCCTTTATTAGAGGATTCTGCCCTGGGGACCGTACAAACCTTTTGGAGCCTGCCGGCGGCTTTAGAGTTCTGATACAGCAGGGTGGGCACAGCGACCAAATAGCTGCCACGGGAGCCACAATTCTTCAGTCACACCATAAAGATCCTCGCTGTGTGGGGGCAGTTCCCGCCCAAGCAACATTTTTTTTAAATCTGCCCAGCCAATGAAATCCGCAGTGGCCACTCAGAAGCCTCACTGGGCACAAGCTCCGCCTGTCTCCGCGCAACTTCTGAGAACACTTGGCCGGCAGCTGGAAAGGTTTTAGTGGGCACCACGTCGGGGATGTCTGGGAGAAGCCCTCAAGCCACACGCATGGCTCTCCGCCCCTCGCCCTCTGCCCAGTCTTCTGTTCCTCTTTTGCCGCCCTCCAGCACCTCTGAATTCTGCCGCCACGCTCCTCTCCACCAACGGGATTTCCCTACCCCTGGAGGTCCCCCCCCCCCCAGTGGTGCAAAACACAAGCTTCCCCCAGTATGTCCCCAGAAGAATGCTGAGATCGACTGGTAACAACTTCCTGGTTATCTCCGGCCCTGGGGAGGTCCGGCTGTCCTCGACTAGGGGCAGGGCCTTTTCGGTCCAGGCCCCGACCTGTTGGAACTCTGCTGAATGACATCAGGGCCCTGCGGGATCCGATGCAATTCCACAGGGCCTGTAAGGCAAGGATGTTCCGCCAGGCTTTTGGTTGAGGGCAGCAATGGGAGGTTGACTGGCACCCTCCCCTTCTCTTCTATGGCCCCAACGTGCCCTTCCCCGCCCTGCCATATGGGGCAGCGGTATGGCCAGCAAAGGGGGATTAATGTATTTCCGCCTTGGGTTGGTGTTAAATTATTGATTTGCTGTTGTTAAATTTAATGATATAAATTGTATTTTAAATGTTTTATAAGGTTGTAAATCGCCCAGAAGTCCAATGAAAGAAAGAAAGAAAGAAAGAAAGAAAGAAAGAAAGAAAGAAAGAAAAAAGAAAGAAAGAAAGAAAGAAAGAAAGAAAGAAAGAAAGAAAGAAGAGATTGGATTTATACCCCGCCCTTCACTTGGTGTCTCAGAGCAGCTTACAAACGCCTTTCCCTTCCCCTCCCGACAACAGGTAGGTGGGGCTGGGCGAGCTCTTTTGAGGACTGCTCTTGAGAGAACAGCTCTGAGAGTACTATGGCTTGCCCAAGGTCATCCAGCTGGCTGCAAGTGGAGGAGTGGGGAATCAAAGGCAGTTCTCCCAGATTAGAATCTGCGCACTTAACCACTAGACCAAACTGGCTCGAAGGAAGGAAGGAAGGAAGGAAGGGCAGATGGCAACTCACCGACATGGTGGAGGGCGCGCACAGTGTTGGCCGTCGTCGCTCGTTCCTCTAGGAAGGGCCACTCCGAATCGGGGAAAGAGGAGAGAGATTTTCCCAAGCGGAACCGGTACAGATCCAGCAGGTACTGGGGGACCGGGAGGCCCGGCTTGGGCCGTGGCCGTCTCTGCAAGCCCAGGCGTCTCAACAGGACGGCTTGGAGGGACTGGATGGGCGCTTGCTTCTGGGCGGCCTGGCCAGTCTCCGGAGGGGTGGCCCCCCGGGGACCTTCGGAGCCCCAGAGGACGAGAGGCATGAGCAGAGCCGCCAGGGCAGGCAGGTTACCAGAAACCATGGTGGAGCTGAGGGAGTCAAGGGTGAGAAAGAGGCCGGTGAACAGAGCACGTCAGTAGAGCCCGGTTCTCCGATTCACCCCCCTCCCCGCACAATAAAAAGTAAAAATCCATTAATTCTTCTGCTTAGCATATACTATATGTACATAGGTAAAGGTAAAGGTTTCCTTACTGGAGAGCCAGTCGAATCCGACTCTAGGGTTGCGGTGCTCATCTCCATTTCAAAGCCGAAGAGCCAGCGCTGTCTGAAGACGTTTCCGTGGTCATGTGGCTGGCATGACTAAACGCTGTTCCCTTCCCACTGAAGTGGTACCTATTTATCTACTTGCAGTTTCTTGCTTTCGAACTGCTAGGTTGGCAGGAGCTGGAACTAGAGACGGGAGCTCACTCCGTCATGCGGCACACTCGGGTCTCGAGCTGCTGACCGACCGACCTTCCACAGCCTGCAGTTCAGCGTCTTAACCACTTGAGCCACCGCAGCTCCCGTCAACTCTCAACCAACTTATAAATGGCGACCCAACCAAGGGGCTCTCAAGGCAAGGGAGAAGCAGAGGTGGTTGGCCCTTGCCTTCCTCTGCAGAGCCTTCCTTGGTGGTCTCCTTTCCAAGTACAGACCCTGCTTAGTTTCCCTCTGCAAGGGGCTTACAAGGCAAGGGAGAAGCAGAGGTGTTTTCCGTAGCCTCCCTCTGAAGTCTTCCTTGGTGGTCCCCCATCCAAGTACCAACCCCGCTTAGTTTTGGAGATGAGGCAAGACAATACTTTTAATTGGAGGTGCCGGGGATTGAACCTGGGACCTTCTGCACGCCAAGGAGAGGCTCTTCCACTGAGCCACAGCCCCACTTCATGGCTCTGCAGGGTCTCAGGCGGAGGTCTTTCCCATACCCTCCTGCCTGGTCCTTTTAACCGGAGATGCCAGGGATCAAACCTGGGACCTTCTGCATGTCAAGCAGGCACTCTCCCACTGAGCCACAGCCCCACTTCATGGCTCTCCAGGGTCTCAGGCGGAGGTCTTTCCCATCCCCTCCTGCCTGGTCCTTTCAACTGGAGATGCCAGGGATCGAACCTGGGACCTTCTGCACTCCAAGCAGAGACTGTTCCACTGAGCTATAGTCCCAGATCAAGGTCTTCCCCATTGCCTACCACCTTATCCTTTTAACTGGAGGTGCCGGGGATTGAACCTGGGACCTCCTGCATGCCGAGCGGATGCTTTGCCACTGAGCCACAGCTCGTCCCTGATTAGTAGAAATGCTATTTAGGCTGCTTGTTGAGAATGCAACTGGTCTCCCCTCCCTGAAGTACTCACTTGCAGGACCGGAGGCTGCTGGCGAGAATCCATTTTCTCCCCACCCCTTCCTGGCGAACCCCCGGTCCTTCTCTCGCCGGGTGTGGTTCAGGTCTCTCCCGGCCGTGCCGTCTGCCCCGGGTCACCCATGCCAGGAAACGTCCCTTGCCACCTCCCGGGCAGCTCTGTCCCCTTTACCGCCTCCGTCCGTCTCCGCCGTGGTGAATGAGACCGGCCGCCTCCCGTCCCTTCTCTAGAGGGTTATGATCTGCCCTCCCCGTCGGCTCCGCTGCCTTCAGGATATGATGTCAGCCAGACGAGCGGCTCCGGCCAGAACAAACAAGCTGTCGCCTCTTGGCGCTCGGTGGCCTCGCCGCCGGCCCTCTCCATCTCACTGGGGAACGGGTGCCGTACGGACCCGGAGCCGAGATAGGGAAGAGAACTGACTCCCGCCTCCAGTCACTTCCCCAGCGAACAGCTGGACCGAGGGTAAGGTGCCCAAGTTCGGCCTCCCCCTCCCAGAATCCTTCAGGGCCGGGTAAAATGGCTGCAGAAGGCCCAGAAGAAGAAGAAGAGACTGGATTTATATTCCCCCCCTATAACTCAGAGCAGCTTACAAACTCCCCTTCCCCTCCCCTCCCCACCACAGACACCCTGTGAGGTCGGTGGGGCTGAGAGAGCTCTTTCCAGGACTGCCCTTTCAAGGACAGCTCTGAGAGAACTTGTGACTGACCCAAGCTCACCCAGCTGGCTGCACGTGGAGGAGGAGTGGGGAATCAGACCCAGTTTTCCCAGATGAGGAGAGGGAGACGAGGAGAAGAAAATGTATACCCCACTTTTCACTACCCAAAGGAGTCTCTGAGTGGCTTACAATCTCCTTTCCCTCCCCCTCCCCACAACAGACACCCTATGAGGTAGTTGGGGCTGAGAGAGCTCTCTCGAGGACTGTCCTTTCCAGGACAGCTCTGAGAGAACTTGTGACTGACCCAAGGTCACCCAGCTGGCTGCATGTGGAGAAGTGGGGAATTAAACCCGGTTCTCCCAGATGAGGAGGGGGAGAAGGCGAAGAAGACGATTTATACCCCACCCTTCACTACCCGAAGGAGTCTCTGAGTGGCTTACGATCTCCTTTCCCTTCCCCTCCCCACAACAGACACCCTATGAGGTAGTTGGGGCTGAGAGAGCTCTTTGGAGGACTGCCCTTTCAAGGACAGCTCTGAGAGAACTTGTGACTGACCCAAGGTCACCCAGCTGGCTGCATGTGGAGGACGAGTGGGGAATCAAGCCCGGTCCTCCCAGATCAGAGCCCGCGCACTTAACCCCTACACCAAACTGGCTCTCTTTTTGCTGCCGTAGGCTAGCTCCATACGTTTGGATCGACCCACCGCGCGACGGAAACGCCGTCTCCCCCCAGAGCGGGCACAGACGGCAAAGGGAATCCCTAGCTGAACAGCACTGCCGTGAGTCTTTCCTAGGCACTGGCTGTTGGCTCTCTACCCCCCCTCCCCCCGAGGGAGCTCCCGTGACCCTCCCGGGGTCACATCAGAAGAGAAATCTCCGAGGCTGCGGCCGAGGTGACTCGTGCGGGAAGTGGCCCCTCTGGCCCGGCGCCCGGCCCTTATCAGGCCAGCTGGAGCAAGAGAGAGGGCTTCCAGGGGCCGTCGCTTCCTCTGCCGCCAGACAGCACGCGTCAGGAACGAGCTGTCATTGGAAAAAGAGAGCGTAAACAGGGCCGGCGGAGGAAGTTCCATGGTCACCGTGGAACAAACACACCACACAGGAATGCACCCTGGGGGGAGGGGTGTTTTCCCATCAAGACCAGTGGCATTTCCTCCCGGGATTCCCGCTGGATGCTGCCGGCAACCCCAGGTACATGCACACACACACCCCGGTCCCGTAACTCACAGCTCCCCAGCAGATGCCATAGTCTCTTTGGCCACTGCGAGGTAGCGGGGTGTAGCGGTGAGACTGGGGGATCTGGAAGGACCCCAGTTTGAATCCCGACTGGCAGCACGGAAGCTCGCTGGGTCGCCCCAAGCCGGTCTCACGCTCTCTCGGCCTCACCTACCTCACAGGGCTGTTGTGAGGAGGGGGAGGGTGCTGTGAGCCGCTACGGGTCCCCATTGGGGAGCAGAGCAGGCTATAAATGAAGTAAATAATACCTTTTGGTGGGGTCCGAGTGCAAAGAAAGTGAAGAGGGGCCGTGGCTCAGTGGCAGAGCATCTGCTTGGCGTGCAGAAGGTCCCAGGTTCGATCCCCAGCATCTCCAGTTAAAAGGGCCAGGCAGGAGGGGATGGGAAAGACCTCCGCCTGAGATCCTGGAGAGCCGTGAAATGGGGCTGTAGCTCAGCAGCAGAGCATCTGCTTGGCATGCGGAAGGTCCCGGGTTCAGTCCCCAGCATCTCCAGTTGAAAGGACCAGGCAGGAGGTGACATGAAATCCTGAGACCCTGGAGAGCCATGAAGTGGGGCCGTGGCTCAGTGGCAGAGCATCTGCTTGGCGTGCAGAAGGTCCCAGGTTCGATCCCCAGCATCTCCAGTTAAAAGGGCCAGGCAGGAGGGGATGGGAAAGACCTCCGCCTGAGATCCTGGAGAGCCGTGAAATGGGGCTGTAGCTCAGCAGCAGAGCATCTGCTTGGCATGCGGAAGGTCCCGGGTTCAGTCCCCAGCATCTCCAGTTGAAAGGACCAGGCAGGAGGTGACATGAAATCCTGAGACCCTGGAGAGCCATGAAGTGGGGCCGTGGCTCAGTGGCAGAGCATCTGCTTGGCGTGCAGAAGGTCCCAGGTTCGATCCCCAGCATCTCCAGTTAAAAGGGCCAGGCAGGAGGGGATGGGAAAGACCTCCGCCTGAGATCCTGGAGAGCCGTGAAATGGGGCTGTAGCTCAGCAGCAGAGCATCTGCTTGGCATGCGGAAGGTCCCGGGTTCAGTCCCCAGCATCTCCAGTTGAAAGGACCAGGCAGGAGGTGACATGAAATCCTGAGACCCTGGAGAGCCATGAAGTGGGGCCGTGGCTCAGTGGCAGAGCATCTGCTTGGCGTGCAGAAGGTCCCAGGTTCGATCCCCAGCATCTCCAGTTAAAAGGGCCAGGCAGGAGGGGATGGGAAAGACCTCCGCCTGAGATCCTGGAGAGCCGTGAAATGGGGCTGTAGCTCAGCAGCAGAGCATCTGCTTGGCATGCGGAAGGTCCCGGGTTCAGTCCCCAGCATCTCCAGTTGAAAGGACCAGGCAGGAGGTGACATGAAATCCTGAGACCCTGGAGAGCCATGAAGTGGGGCCGTGGCTCAGTGGCAGAGCATCTGCTTGGCGTGCAGAAGGTCCCAGGTTCGATCCCCAGCATCTCCAGTTAAAAGGGCCAGGCAGGAGGGGATGGGAAAGACCTCCGCCTGAGATCCTGGAGAGCCGTGAAATGGGGCTGTAGCTCAGCAGCAGAGCATCTGCTTGGCATGCGGAAGGTCCCGGGTTCAGTCCCCAGCATCTCCAGTTGAAAGGACCAGGCAGGAGGTGACATGAAATCCTGAGACCCTGGAGAGCCATGAAGTGGGGCCGTGGCTCAGTGGCAGAGCATCTGCTTGGCGTGCAGAAGGTCCCAGGTTCGATCCCCAGCATCTCCAGTTAAAAGGGCCAGGCAGGAGGGGATGGGAAAGACCTCCGCCTGAGATCCTGGAGAGCCGTGAAATGGGGCTGTAGCTCAGCAGCAGAGCATCTGCTTGGCATGCGGAAGGTCCCGGGTTCAGTCCCCAGCATCTCCAGTTGAAAGGACCAGGCAGGAGGTGACATGAAATCCTGAGACCCTGGAGAGCCATGAAGTGGGGCCGTGGCTCAGTGGCAGAGCATCTGCTTGGCGTGCAGAAGGTCCCAGGTTCGATCCCCAGCATCTCCAGTTAAAAGGGCCAGGCAGGAGGGGATGGGAAAGACCTCCGCCTGAGATCCTGGAGAGCCGTGAAATGGGGCTGTAGCTCAGCAGCAGAGCATCTGCTTGGCATGCGGAAGGTCCCGGGTTCAGTCCCCAGCATCTCCAGTTGAAAGGACCAGGCAGGAGGTGACATGAAATCCTGAGACCCTGGAGAGCCATGAAGTGGGGCCGTGGCTCAGTGTGCGAGCTATTGGGGGGGGGACGCACAGATCTGCCCTCACAGAGGAGGGAGAGCTTGTACCTGAAGGTGGGCCGGGGGGGAGGGGGCTCTGCAACTGACCTGGTTGTTACTTCTGCTTCGTGCTCTGACTGAGGGCTGCTGGGAGCAGGGGGCGGGGCTTGTTGCATGTGCCCACCCCCTGGGCTCCTTACTGCCGGAGCTCCGCCCCTGTGCGCTCCTGCAGGAAATGACCCGTGTGTGTGTGTGTATAATATCGGTGCTCCAATACTCACTCTGAATCCTAAAACCAAGATGGTGTTCTGAAGATGTTACAGCTGAACAACAACAGCAGCAAATGTCCCCACAACCCTGTCGTCCACTAGGGGCGTCCCGCATCCCCCGATGATATCCGCACCAGCGGTGGTAGAGCACAGTGATGGAAAGGCGTTGATGGAATAATGGTGGTGGCGGCTCCTACTCGAAAGCCTGGCGGAAGAGCTCCGTTTTACAGGCCCTGCGGAACTGCCCAAGGTCCTGCAGGGCCCGGATCTCTTCTGGGAGCTCATTCCACCAGGTAGGAGCCACCACCGAAAACGCCCTGGCCCTGGTCACAGCAAGTTTTGACGGTCTTGGGGCCTGGAATATCCCGGAGGTTTTGGCTCCCCGACCGTAGTGCCAAGCAACATCAGGGCCCTGCGGATAAATAAGGGGGAAAAAATCAGGGCCCTGCGGGATTTAATGCAATTCCGTAGGGCCTGCAAGGCGGAGATGTTCCGCTAGGCCTTTGGTTGAGAACAGCGATGGCTTCCATCTTGGCTGGCGCCCTCTTCCTAACTCTCTTTCCATCAGATTGTTTTATCCCTCCTCCCCATGCCCACAAGGTGGCCGCAGTCCAGAATTGTGAAGAAACTCTTAATTTCGCCACTTGATCCTTTTGGTGTAGTGGTTAAATTGGTGTGGTGGTTAGGAGCGCAGGCTCCAATCCGGGAGAACCGGGTTTGATTCCCCACACCTCCTCCACATGCAGCTGCTGGTGTGACCTTGGGCCAGTTACAAGTTCTTTCAGAGCTGATCTCTCAAGGGCAGTCCCCGAAAGAGCTCTCTCAGCCCCACTTACCTCACAGAGAGTTTGCTGAGGGGAGGGGAAGGGAGAGGAGATTGTCAGCCGCTCTGAGACTCCTTCGGGTAGTGAAGGGTGGGGTATAAATCCAATCTCTTCTTCTTCTATATTGCTGGATCAACACTATTTATGTGCTTATTTTTACAGTTTTAATGTTTTTACTATGTGTTGTACATTACCCAGAGCCCTGAGGTAGCAGGGATTGGGCGATTCATAAGTTTAATAATAATAATGGAGGTCTCTGAGTCTTCATAGCCCAGTCTGAAGGTAGGAGGAGGGTCGTAAAGAATGCTTGGAAAGGATGCAGAGGGACAATGCGTATTGTAATCAGCTTGATTTGAGCAGTGGGGAAATGCTCAGGGGAGAAAATTAGCATCTGTAATGAGATAAAAGCCCTCTGTCCCTTTTCAGCCCCCTGGGGCGGGGGGGGGGGGTTCCATTGTTCTGAAGTTGTGAATTAACTGCAGTTCAGCAATCCTGTATTCTGTTAAGCGGGATGGAGGGCGAGAGCAGAGACTCATGCAGAGATGCAACAGGCAGCCTTCTTCAAGGTTGGGCAATTTCGCCTCGTCCCCACACCCTTTGCGTTTCAGGTCTTCAGTCACACTCGATGTAGGGCATGGCAGAATTACTCTCCCTCAAGATCAAGCGTCCCGGACCACCTTAAAGACTAACGCAATTTGTGGCAGGTATCTGAGAAAGTGGAGCCGTGACACCCGGAAGCTCATCCCCTGCCAAAAATTGTGTTCGTTTTTAAGGTACTCCAGGACTCTTGCTCGTTCCTACCCATCTTCATCTGTCTCCCTCAAGCTGAACGGGGTGGGGCAGAGCAGTAACTCATCCAGAGGACATCTGCCTTCAACTGAATCAGACGCTTGGTCCTTCAAGGTCCATATAGCCTACAAAGGCTGGCAGCAGTGCTTCTCCACGGTCTCGGGCAGAGGTAATTCCCATCCCCTCCTGCCTGGTCCGTTTAACTGGAGATGCCGGGGATTGAACCTGGGACCTCCTGCATGCCAAGCAGACACTCTTCCACTGAGCCACAGCCCCCACTTCATGGCTCTTCAGGGTCTCAGGTGGAGGTCTTTCCCATCTCCTCCTGCCTGGCCCTTTTAACTGGAGATGCCGGGGATCGAACCTGGGACCTTCTGCACGCCAAGCAGAGGCTCTGCCACTGAGCCACAGCCCCACTTCATGGCTCTCCAGGGTCTCAGGCAGAGGTCTTTCCCATCCCCTGCTGCCTGGTCCTTTTAACTGGAGATGCCGGGGATTGAACCTGGGACCTTCTGCATGCCAAGCAGACACTCTTCCACTGAGCCACAGCCCCCACTTCATGGCTCTTCAGGGTCTCAGGTGGAGGTCTTTCCCATCTCCTCCTGCCTGGCCCTTTTTAACTGGAGATATCAAGGATTGAACCTGGGGCCTTCTGCCTGCCAAGCAGAGGCTCAACCACTGAGCTACAGCCCCACTTCATGGCTCTCGAGGGTCTCAGGCAAAGGTCTTTCCCATCACCTCTGCCACTGAGCTACAGCCCCACTTCATGGCTCCTCGTCTCAGGTGGAGGTCTTTCCCATCACCTCCTCCCTCGTCCTTTTAACTGGAGGTGCTGGGGATCGAACCTGGGACCTTCTGTATGCCAAGCAGATGCTCTCCCACTGAGCTACAGCCCCACTTCATGGCTCTGCAGGGTCTCAGGTGGAGGTCTTTCCCATCACCTCCTGCCTGGTGCTTTTAACTGGAGATGCCGGGGATCGAACCTGGGACCTTCTGCATGCCAAGCAGACGCTCTACCACTGAGCTACAGCCCCACTTCATGGCTCTCCAGGGTCTCAGTAGAGGTCTTTCCCATCACCTAACTGGAGATGCTGGGGATTGAACCTGGGACCTTCTGCATGCCAAGCAGAGGCTCTGCCACTGGACCACGGGACCCTCTCCCCCTCCCAGAAACGAACTACAGCTTGGGCTCCAGGCTTCCCTAACAGCGCCTTCTCAAACTACAATTCCCAGGCTGCTGCAGAGGGGAAAGCCGGCCATGCAGTCAGCCCAGAACACGTTAAAGAGCCCCGTGAAGGCCAGGCCTACAAGCATTCGGGGGTCCATTTCTGGTATCCACCAGCCCAGTCGCTCTCCTTCTCTTTCGCTGGGAGTTTTCCTTGGCCGTGGCCGGCTGTTTCTCCGGCTTGCTGTGGAAAACATCCTCCCCGCCGCTGACCCAGGGCCTGGCCGCCAGCCAGAGGGGATGCTGGCCCAGCGAGAGAGCGTCAGGTTGGTGCCGCCACTGGGCAAAGGGGAAAGCATGCCGATCTCGTGCGGCGGCACTTCCTGTTTACCGGCCGGCGAGCACGGCTTTAACCCTTTGCTGGCCGAGGGCCTGCGGGCCACCGCTTGAGAAGGCCGGTGACAGGACTCACCCCGGCAGCCAGATCTTTGCAACCTCAACCCAGAAGAACTTTGCTCACCTGGAGTCGTGTTCCCCAGCCGGTGGGTCAGGATGCAAAAGGGGGTCAACGCCACTTCGGTGTGGTGGTTAGGAGCGCGGACTCTAATCTGGGAGAACCGGGTTTGATTCCCCACTCCTCCACTTGCAGCTGCCGGTGTGACCTTGAGTCAGTCACAAGTTCCCTCAGAGCTGTTCTCTCAAGGGCAGTCCTCGAAAGAGCTCTCTCAGCCCCACCGACCTCACAGGGTGTCTGTTGTGGGGAGCGGGAAGGGAAAGGAGATTGTGAGCCGCTCTGAGACTCCTTTTGAGTAGTGAAGGGAGGGGTATACATCCAATTTCTTGTTCTTCTTCTTCATCATCATCATCATGTAGAGTTGGGGGTTGGAGCCTAGGAAGAGGGAGGGATTTGGGGGGCAGGACCTCAGGAGAGGATGTTGCCATCGTGTCCACCCTCCAAGAAGAGAAGAGAGAAGAGACTGGATTTATATCCCGCCCTTCACAACCCAAAGGTGTCTCAGAGCGGTTTACGAACTCCTTTTCCCTTCCCCTCCCCACCACAGACACCCTGTGAGGTGGGTGGGGCTGAGAGAGCTCTGACAGAAACTGCTCTTTTTCGAGGACAACTCTTATCAGAACCACGGCTTGCCCAAGGTCATCCAGCCAGGTGCAAGTGGAGGAGTGGGGAATCGAACCCGGTTCTCACAGATTAGAGCCCGCGCACTCAACCACGACACCAAACTGAACATAAGAGAAGCCAATGCTGGATCAGGCCAATGGCCCATCCAGTTCAATACTCCGTCACACGGGGGTCATCAGGAGATCTATCAGTGGGGCCAGGACACTAGAAGCCCTCCCACTGTTGCCCCCCCAAGCACCAAGAGTATCACTTGCCCCACACTGAGAGTTCCTATCTAGACCTTGTGGCTAATAGCCACTGATGGACCTCTGCTCCAGATGTTTATCCAATTCCCTCATGAAGCTGTCCATGCTTGTAGCCGCCACCACCTCCTGTGGCAGTGAATTCCATGTGTTCATCACCCTTTGGGTGAAGAAAGTACTTCCTTTTATCTGTTCTAACCCGACCGCTCAGCGATTTCATGGAGTGCCCACCAGTTCTTGTATTGTGAGAAAGGGAGAAAAGGACCTCTTTCTCTGCCTGCTCTATCCCGTGCATAATCTTATAAACCTCGATCGTGTCACCCCTCAGCCGTCGTTTCTCCAAGCATTTTAACCTTTCCTCATAGGGAAAGTGTTCCAACCCTTTTATCATTCTAGTTGCCCTTTTCTGCACTTTTTCCAATGCTATCATATCCTTTCTGAGGTGTGGTGACCAGTTGGTCTTTCCGCTGCTAGCCATCTCGAATCTCGCACTGCTAAAAAAAGTAACCCAACACTGTTGAAATTGCAAACAAAGATGAGAGACATTAACGAGCAGGCTTTCCATTTCCTCGCCCACAGGCTTCTACAATGAAGATGCCGGTCGCCGTCGTCCGCCTTCCCCGGGGGCCGGACGGGACGAGCCGCGGCTTCGACCCCAGCTCTCCCCGTTTCCAAGCCCTGGGGCCCAGCAGCCTCTTCTCCAAGGTCACCGCAAACGCGGCCGAGCTGGAGCGGGAGCAGCAGGGGAGGGTGGCGCTGCGGGAGCGCTACCTGCGCAGCCTGCTGGCCATGGTCGGCCGCCCCGTCAGCTTCACCATGTACGAGAAGGTCAGCGTCACGGCGCTCTTCGGCGCGTCCGACATCGACGTCCTGAACTTCCAGGTGTCCGAACTGCAGACCCCGCTGGGAGTGCAGAAGGAAGCCGTCCTCCGGTGCTCGGATATTGTTGCGTACTCCTTCGAGCTCTAAGGGGCCCACGAGCTCCTCTGGAATAAAGGACCTGCGATAAACGAGCACATGGCCCTTTCCTGGAGAAAGATGTTCCCTAAACCGTGCACGTGCCCGGAAGTAAAATAGGGGCTAGGGAGTGGCTTGCTGGGTCTGCAGGAATCCTCTAACATCACTGCTTTCTTTTCGAGGAGCGGCGGGGAAAAGATTAGGCGAGCGGCTCTCTTTTTAGAATCCCATCTCTGCAGGAGTCAGGTAGCGAGCAATCCTATTACTTCCAGGATTGGGGGGGGGTTTAAAGTCCTGTCAAGTCACCCCCGGCCCAGAGGAACCCCGTGAATCAATGACCTACAAAATGCCTGGCGTTAACAGCAGTGCTCCCCTCCAAGCTGTGGAGTCCTGTGAGCAAAAATGCTCCTTTGTGAGCTGCTGGCGTCAAAGTTGCGAGCGAGCGATTTGCCTACGGCATAAATGAGTTTGCTCTGGAGCCCTCCTTCCCGAGCTCAGACAAAAATGTGTGAGCTGGAGGCTAAAAAAAACCTATAAGCTAGCTCACACTAACTCAGCTTACAGGGAACACCAAACGGAGGTCCCTTCCAACTCTATGATTCTGTGATGCTATTGTTGTACGCACAGTTTATATGTGACACTGTTATGCACTCAGCACTCTGTCTGCCTTAAGTGGAATCAGTTAGCACCTATGACATACAGATATGTTAAGTGCCGTTGATGATTCTAATTACAGAGATAGAAATCAATTATGGATATATATTCAGGTATTCACTTTGGTTCATTGCTTAAATGCATTCTGGGAGAAATACTAAATGCTGACAGGCAGTAACTGACTGCTTATGACCTTGCTTATAGTGGCCAGTTGTAACTGCGCATATTCCAGTTTGGTGTAGTGGTTAAGTGCGCAGACTCTAATCTGGGAGAACCGGGTTTGAATCCCCACTTCTCCACTTGCACCTGCTGATGTGACCTTGGGTCAGTCACAAGCTCTGGCACAGCTGTCCTTGAAAAAGAGCAGTCTCTGCCAGAGCTTTCTCAGCCCCACCCACCTCACAGGGTGTCTGTTGTGAGGAGGGGAAAGGAAAGGAGTTTGTAAGCCGCTCTGAGACTCCCAAGTGAAGGGCAGGATATAAATCCAATCTCTTCTTCTTCTTCTTCTTCCTTGATGGAGTCCATCCACCTCATATTGGGTCTTCCTCTTTTCCTGGCAAAAACTCAGAAAGAAACCACTGTGAAAATTCACTTATAAACAACGTGTGAACCAAATAAAGACTCTTAGAAATTCATATCGTCATTAGATTTATATGAACTTTTAAGGAACTTATACTAGAATGAAAACTTCCAAAGTGCACTTGAAACATCTCGCAGAGGAAGAAGTGATTCCAAACAACTCTTATTACAATAATCTGTTATATTTTTAAAAGGCTCTTACGGGTTGAGAATGTTGATTATTGCATGGTATTAATAATTGTTCTGAATGTACTGTTGTATATATGGTTTAAAATAATAAAAAACACTTATTTGATAAATATTAAAAAAAAAAAACCATGTACAACCCCATGTCAGAGAACTAAACACACAGCAGTTAGAAAACTATATCCAAATCATAAGGGTGCTGGAGAAGACTCTTGAGAGTCCCTTGGACTGCAAGAAGATCAAATCAGTCAATCCTCAAAGAAACCAACCCTGACTGTTCCCTGGAAGGCCAGATAATGAAACTGAAGCTCAAATACCTTGGCCACCCAATGAGAAGGGAGCACTCCCTGGAGAAGACCCTGATGCTGGGAAAGATTGAAGGTCAAAGAAGATGGGGACGGCAAAGGATGAGATGGTGAGACAGTGTCATAGATGCAACGAACATGAAGTTGAGCAAACTTCAGAGGACGGCGGAAGACCGGAAGGCCTGGCATGATCTGGTCCATGGGGTCGCAAAGAGTCGGACTCGACTGTGCGACTGAACAACAACAACTCAATTCAGCAGGCAAGTATTCTGGAAAAAATAGCAGTTTACTTGGATTTAGCGTGCTAACTGATGTGCTTAGTTCTCTGACATGGGGCTGTACATGTTTAAAGTGCACTTTGGAAGTTTTCATTCTGTTATGAGATCCTTGGTTTATATAAATCTAATGACATCTATATATCTAATAGCCAAGTGGCCCCGTCTGTGCGGATCGCTATATCCGCACTTCGGGGGCACTTGGGGGGCAGGGGGAGGTTTGTGCACTCTTGGGGCAGTCCCCAGGGGTGCACAAAAATCGAAAAACTAAAAAAATATATCGGGGGGATGTTTAAATCCCCCCGAAAGTGCAAGAGCGTCTCCTGCGCGTGCGCAGGAGACGCTCTGCGACCCCTGCCGCCGCCACCTCCGGGCGGCCGGGCGGGAAGACGGGCCTCG